TGATGCTGCTCTGCGGGGACTTTGTCCCCGGAAGGAGCGGCATCAGCTGTTCCATTGCTCTCTACAGTAGAGTCTGTATCATCTGACATATTCGGTAATCCGACCATGTGTCGGTCCCGTTTAGGTCGGATGATAGGGACTCTTGCCAGCAAGTTAAAGAAGTATGGGTTGGATGAATGGACTATAAAGTGGATAGAAAATGCTCCCTGGGCAATGATCAATGGCTCAATGTCTAGTTGGAAGCTGGTATGATGCAGTGTCCCAGGGATTGGTCCAGGGCATAGTTCCCACTAAGGTGAGCACCTGCGTGGCTGAGCACAAAAAATTATCCCCCCACCCACCTCCTTTGCAGAGCCGCACTGCAGTGGTCACCTTCCTGCTGGAAGGTGAGGAGCATGGCTGAGGCGGCATGGTGAAGCGGGGGGGCTGTCACAAAGTGTGATGAAGGGTGGCTGGGACTATGAGATGGGGTGGCTCCTGGGGGGACCTACTGAGGCTGCATGGTGGGAGGCTGCTCCAGCTGCCAACTGAGAACACATAGTGGGTGGCCGGGGCCTACTCCAGTGAAGGACTGGGATCTTCTGCAGCCACGTGGCAGGGGAGGCCAGGATCTGCTCCAGTGGCTGGGGCCCGCTGGGGCTGCATGGCGGGGGTGCAACCAGGGCTTGCTCCAGTTGGGGGGGCTAGGACCTGCTGCATGGCAGGGGAGCCAGGGCCTGCTTCAGCAGCCAGGGGCTGTGGCTAGGAACCGGGGGCCGGGGCTTAGGTCGGCTGTGCAGTGGGGGGCCGGGGCTGGCCATGGGGCAGGGGACCAGGGCCAGCTGTGTGATAGGGGGCTGGTGCCGGCCATGTGTCAGAGGCCTGGTACCGCACAGGCACTGGGCCACGTGGTGGTGGGGCTGCTCCCAAAGCCAGTGCCAGCTCTTCCCCAGGGCTGGAGCTGTGTTCAGGGCCACAAAGTGGCTGCCTGTCTGCTCCCTGGTCTGACCGCATGGCAGCTGCCCTAAGCTGGAGCTGGGCTGTGGTGCGGCTACTCCTGGGGCTGGGGCCTACTGCATCTCTCTTCCCCGCCTCCTGCACTTCTCTATTGCCCCTTAGAGCCCCCTGCCTTCCAATTCCCTATTCCCCCCTGTTTCCCACATGTCACTGCCCCACCCATCGCACCTCACTCCCTGGAAACCCTTCCCTCTGCCCCAGGTGGGGACTCACAGCCAGCTCCATGAGAAGCAGCCTGGGGCAGTCCCTGCCCTGCACACAGTCTGCCCAGGGAGCAATCCTCCCCGGGGGGGGAGGGCGTAACTCACCGTCTCCCCATGTGGGGGGGTGCTACCTGGGAGAGTCTCTTGGGGAGGAGAGCACTGGTGGGTGCCACAGTAGCACACACCCAAACAAGCACATGTGACCTCACTGTTGGTGCACAAGACAAAACTCACTCCACTCATGGATGGAAAATCCTAAAGGGAACACTGGTCCAGGGCATAGTTCCCCCTAAGCTGCGCGCCTCTGTGCTGCGCACAAAAAATTCTCCGCCTGCCCGCCTCCTTTGCAGAGCCGCACAGCAGCGTGCTGATAGAAGGTGAGCTACTGCTGCTGCTGGGGGGAGACATGCAGAGCTCAGCTGGGAAGTTCTTTGCTATCACCGATTACCCAGGTCTCTGGCCAGAGCTACATAATAACTGCCCAGCTGCTCCAGGGGTCGGGGCAAGGGCCAGGGCTGTGGGGCTATAGCAGGGGCTCCTGCACCTGCAGGGCTGGCCCAGGACTGTGTGGCCATGGCAACAGATCTTCCCCCTGCCAGGGCCTGCCACCCAGGCATAACCGGGGCCACCACCCAGGACTAGCTGGGAAGTCTCCACACAGCTCTGATGCCAGCTTCAGCCCTGGGGAAGGTCTGGAGCTGGGGTAGGGCCACAGGGTAGCTGCTTCTGTGGCAGGCTGTGGGTCAGCTGCTGGGCCTGGAGCTGGGGCTGCAGTGTGGCTGCTCTGGGGGCCAGAGTGTTATGTGGCATGGGGAGGCCAGGGAGCTGCTGTGGTGTTGGCTGCCATTGTGGCAAAGGAACAGGCTGCTGTTCCTCTGCTATCATTACTGGTGGAATGACGCTGGAGACACTAGACCTTCATCCCAGCCCTTGAGTGAGTTGCCTTTTCCTTCTGCCTTGGGGGTGGGGGCAGCCTTCCTGAGGGGAAGGTGCATTGCAGCCTTGCTCAGCACCTGGGCCCACTGCAGCCCACACAGCACTACCTGTCGCTTGTCCTGCTGGTGCTTTACCGCCCTGTGCAGACAGGAACAACATGGCTCAGACAAAGGGTTGCCAGATGGTTTCAACAAAAATACTGGACACTTTTGACATTACATCACAATCTACATTACATCTTATTTAGAAAATACTGGACATTTATATTTGCTCATTTATATTTTCTCAATTTGTATCCCAAACCGAAAGCTGGACTGTCTGGTTCCAAACTGGACACCTGGCAATCCTACTCAGACACTGAGTGGACGGTACCCAGGGCAGGGACCCAGCCAGGGGAAGGGGGTGATGCTGGCTCCCACATCAGTGCTGCAGCAGAGGGAGAAAAGGAGCACCCTGCCCCAGATTCTGCCTGGCTGTGCTAGTGGATGTCCATGCTATTAGTGCAGCATTATGTAGTGTAGCCATTTTGCACCCCAGCTGCACAAAGGTACCCTAAAAGCAGGATCTCACTTCCCTACTTGGGTCCTATCCCCAGTGTAGGTAGAGGACTCCCTATCTTGCTTAGAGCCAATGAAATGGCTAAGGGCTACCTCCCCCTCCCCCAAACAAAACTCCTAGGACAGGGGCATTCTGGAGGAAAACTAGAGCAGTGCTGCACTGTGCCTATTCTTGGCCTCCTTTGACTTCCATAGAACTGTGGGCAGACTTAGAGTGGCCTTGAGGCTAATTTAACATACAACAGCAGCTGAACTTGCTTCTGCTTAGGTGGATTATACTGAAGGCACTAAGGGGGCTTAGATACATCTTTCAGTCTTTCAGCCTTCTTGCTTTGATGCACTCTGGTCATGCCTTAGTATCCTAATAAAAGTTGAGAGATGCTGTAGTTCAAATGTTTCTTCTGGGTCTCATACTTCTGATATTGCTAGCAAATCCTCCAATGTCCTTGTGTTTGAATTCTAACAGTAATCATAGAATCATAGGACTGGAAGGGAATTCATATACTGTACATCTAGTTGCAGGAGGATCTGGGAGAGGGCTATAAGCAGAGGAAGTTGGGAGAGGGTTCATGCTAAATACATCTGATGAGGTTCAACAAGGACAAGAGCAGAGTCCTGCACTTAGGATGAAAGAAACCCATGCACTGCTACAGACTGGGGACCCAACTGGCTAAGAAGCAGTTTAAAAAAAAAAGACCTGAGAATTCCAGTGCATGAGATGCAGGATATGAGTCAACAGCGCACCCCTGTAGCCAAGAAATATAACAGCATATTGGGCTGCATTTGTAGGAGTAATGGCAGCAGATTGAAGGATGTGATTATTCCCCTCTATTCAACACTGGTGAGGCCACATCTGAGTACTTTGTCCAATTCTGGGGGCCCCACTACAGAAAAGAAGTGGACAAATTGGAGAGAGTCCAGCAGAGGGTATTGAAAATGATTAGGGGCCATGGCACATGACTTATGAGGAGTGCCTGAGGGAACTGGGCCTATTTAGACTGCAAAAGAGAAGAGTGGGGGGGGATTTGATAGCAGCCTTCAACCACCTGAAGGACAGTTCCAAAGAGGATCAAGCTAAGTTATTCTCAGTGATGGCAGATGACAGAACAAGGAACAATGGTTTCAAGTTACAGTGGGAGAGGTCCAGGTTGGATATTAAGAAAAACTATTTCACTAGGAGGATGGTGGTAAATTCCTGGACTGTCATTTCTCATTAAAAGTGCTGTCATATGGGTGGAAATCAGGTAAATATTGAATTTTATTAACATCAGCAGAACTGACTTAAATGGGGCCTGTGTGTTGTGTAGTCTTGCCTTAATATTTGTAATCCTGCCTGTCAGTGTGAAATTTGCATATGTTTGCATATATATTTGCATGTATATGCAATCACACTTACGTTGTGTGGCTCTTGGTATATGCTGTGAGTATCACGGGGCTTCCAAAGTTGAGTAGATGACCTCCTGAGGTGACTTCCAACTCTTATCTTCTCTGATTCCATAACAGTCTTTAACTGTATGATCATAGACAACGGGTCTGTTTTGGGATCCGTACTGTTCAATATCTTCATCAATGATGTAGATATTGGGATAGAGAGTACGCTTATTAAGTTTGCAGACGATACCAAACTAGGTGGGGTTGCAACTTCTTTGGAGGATAGGGACATAATTCAAAATGACCTTAGCAAGTTAGAGAAATAGTCAGAGGTAAACAGGATGAATTTTAATAAAGAGAAATGCAAAGTGCTCCACTTAGGAAGGAACAATCAGTTCCATACATACAAGATGGGAAGCGACTGTCTAGGAAGGAGCATGGCAGAAAGGGATCTAGGGGTCATAGTGGACCACAAGTTGAATATGAGTCAACAGTGTGATGCTGTTGCAAAAAAAGCAAATATGATTCTAGGTTGTATCAACAGGTGTGTTGTAAGCAAAACTCGTGAAGTCATCCTGCCGCTCTACTCTGCACTAGTTAGGCCTCAACTGGAGTACTGTGTCCAGTTCTGGGCACCACATTTCAAGAAAGATGTGGAGAAATTGGAAAGGGTACAGAGAAGAGCAACAAGAATAATTAAAGGTTTAGAGAACATGACCTATGAAGCCAGGCTTCATGAACTGGGCTTGTTAAGTTTGGAAAAAAGAAGATTAAGGGGGGACATGATAGCGGTTTTCAAATATCTAAAAGGGTGTCACAAGGAGGAAGGAGAAAATTTGTTCCTCTTGGTTTCTGAGGACAGGACAAGGAGTAATGGGCTTAAAGTGCAGCAGGGGAGGTTTAGATTGGACATTAGGAAAAAATTCCTAACTGTCAGGGTGGTCAAATATTGGAATAAATTGCCAAGGGAGGTGGTGGAATCTCCCTCTCTGGAGATATTTAAGAACAGGTTAGATAGACACCTGTCAGGGATGGTTAGACGGAGCTTGGTCCTGCCTTGAGGGCGGGGGGCTGGACTCGATGACCTCTCGAGGTCCCTTCCAGTCCTATAATTCTATGATTCTATGATTTTTCACAGGACCCCTGCCACACTTGGAGTACAGGATGGATGGTGCTCAGTTACTGAGCCTCTGTTTAATATTTTGTTTTCTCTTTGTTCAGTATTTGGTCACATCCCTTATGTTTTGAACACTATTCAAACCTTGCTTTCAGGATAGTCTTTCCATTGCAATCTTAATAATGTACTTTTTAATTTAGATTTTCATGTCATTTTAAATTTACTCAAACATTATTCCTGTTATCCACCAAGATAGAAGAAGAGACACCATTTTAAAAAGAAAAGATATTTTTCTTTTATTTAAAATTATATATTTTATATAAATTTTAAAAGAAAAACAAATTCTCTACCATTATGAGAGTTTGAAAATTCTGTGCCACAGCTGTCTCAGGCTTTCTATTGGTATTACTTTGGCTGCATGGCTTACAGGAAGTATTGAGGATTGAGTTGGAAGTGAACATCACACAGTCCATCATTTAATGGTTCTGAGGTCTAAAACATATGTCACATATAATGAAATGCTCATTTCAAATCCCACTGGTGCCTAAGGTAGATCTTGTTGGCTTCAAAGGGGGAATCTGTCTGTCAGTTCCCCATCTATGAAATTAATTGATAATATTTCCTAATCTTTGTTGTAAGGTTTAATTAGTCTTTGTGATGCCCATTGAGATCTTTGGGTGACTGGTGATACTGAAGTGCAAAATATCAATGATGATTGTTCAAGTGAATGGCCCGCACAGAAAACAAGAGATGTGATTACACATAACAATACTGCAGTGTTACCTGAGAGGGTGAAAATATTCAATACTCAGCTGGAGTACTGTGTCCAGTTCTGGGCGCCACATTTCAAGAAAGATGTGGAGAAATTGGAAAGGATACAGAGAAGAGCGACAAGAATGATTAAAGGTTTAGAGAACATGACCTATGAAGCCAGGCTTCATGAACTGGGCTTGTTTAGTTTGGAAAAAAGAAGATTAAGGGGGGACATGATAGCGGTTTTCAAATATCTAAAAGGGTGTCACAAGGAGGAAGGCGAAAATTTGTTCCTCTTGGTTTCTGAGGACAGGACAAGGAGTAATGGGCTTAAAGTGCAGCAGGGGAGGTTTAGATTGGACATTAGGAAAAAATTCCTAACTGTCAGGGTGGTCAAATATTGGAATAAATTGCCAAGGGAGGTGGTGGAATCTCCCTCTCTGGAGATATTTAAGAACAGGTTAGATAGACATCTGTCAGGGATGGTGTAGACGGAGCTTGATCCTGCCTTGAGGGCGGGGGGCTGGACTCGATGACCTCTCGAGGTCCCTTCCAGTCCTATGATTCTATGATTCTATGATAATTCTTATGGGCTATGCCTAGCTGAAATTTTTGGTATTACATATATAATTGAAGTAGCTAGGACACTGGATAGGAACAGGTTATTGCTGTTGCCTATTCCGATGTATGTAAATATGATAAAGAAACCCTCAGTAAACCAGAAATGACAGAGTGTTGTTTATTGTACTTTCAGATGTTGGGAGGCATCCCATGGCAAGCATATTTTCAACGAGTTCTTTCTTCTTCATCTGCCACATATGCTCAAGTATTATCCTTTCTGGCTGCTTTTGGCTGTCTTGTGATGGCCCTTCCTGCAATACTCATTGGCGCAATAGGAGCATCAACAGGTAAATGAGTGACCTGAGTTAATACCTCTATTGCTATCAGTGTATGAAACCCTTAACAGAGTGTGTGTTCCATATAATCCAGCCAGATAATAACATTAAACTTCTCCTGATTTCCTTTATACAAGAATAGACCTGGATTTAATTGTACAGGCAGTCCCTGGGTTACGTACAAGATAGGGCCTATAGGTTTGTTCTTAAGTTGAATTTGTATGTAAGTGTTAATACCTCTATTGCTATCAGTGTATGAAACCCTTAACAGAGTGTGTGTTCCATATAATCCAGCCAGATAATAACATTAAACTTCTCCTGATTTCCTTTATACAAGAATAGACCTGGATTTAATTGTACAGGCAGTCCCTGGGTTACGTACAAGATAGGGCCTATAGGTTTGTTCTTAAGTTGAATTTGTATGTAAGTCGGAACTGGCTCCAGATTCAGCTGCTGCCACTGAAACT